TTGAAAAATTAGGCCCGTTGCAGATCACTAATTGGAATCATGGGGTGGGAGTTAGTTTGATTTATGAAAAAAAAAATTAGGGTGAAATTTTTTTCTTAGAATTAAAATCATTTTTAAGATTAATTTATCCTATAAAATATTAATATCCATTCAGCCCCTCTACACTTCTCTATAATTTAGAAATCAGCCATGACCGGTCGGGTAATGTCAAAAGTTTTGTTATTTGGGCCGGGCAAAAAATTAACCGCCCTGGCTTTCGAAAGGTAGAGATGCTCGGCCCGCTTAATATAGAATATAAGTCTAATTTTGTTAAAATAATATCTTTTTTGCTTATTATTTTATTGCTAAGGTTGTGGCTTGTTACTATGATCATTTCATAAATACGATTTCTTTCTCTTTTCTTACATTTTGTTTTTACTTTATGAGTGCGTCCAAAGTCAAATTTTTTTTAAGAAATCGAATGTGGACGTATAATGTATAAATGCGAGAATCATTTTTTAAAAAAATTTAACTTTGGATACACCTAGACATGTGTGCCGCCGGTCAAATGCGCCGCCGCCGGTGATTCTGATCACGCCGTAGCCGCGCGCCAATAAGTGCACCGATGTAAAAATTCGGCGGCGTGATACATATTTTTTATTATTTATTTATTTTATATGTTATTTATGAATTGTAATTAGAAGAAAAATATTAAATATTTTTTGAATTATTAAAAAATGCGATTTTAATTAATAAATATTATTTGCTAGATTTCCACATTCGCTCACTTTGGGCATGTTTGTGACCAACATGCTAGATAAAATAGGATTAGGACATTAAATTTGAAAAGGTAATTCTATATTTTATTCTTTTAATTTTTGATGCTTCAAATAATTTACAACTCGTTATATAAAATTTATTTTTTATCATAATAGGAATTTTTAATTAATGATTTTTATTTTGTTGCCATTATAACATATATAAAAAAACCAGGACTAAAACAATTATAATGGATGCAGCATTGCAATACCCTGTAACAAAATATAGTATATCCTTGCAAGCAAAGCCTTCTTTTGAATGGAAACATTTTGGATCCTTAATATTAAAAACTGACACAAATAATAAGAGTACCAGTGTTACTACAGATAAAGTCTTTTGTAATATATGCTTGCAAATAGCACTTGATAAAGATGGTGACGATGAAAATAATTATTCATTTTCAGAGTAAATTTTTTGATTATTTTAAAAATATTTGTAATTTTTTTAATTAGTTATCCAATCAAATCTTTTTCAAAAAATATCAGCACATCAAATATAATAAAACATTTACTTGACAAACATGATTTATCATGTAAAGAAGAAATACCTAAACAAAATTTAAAGTTATTTTTCAAACCCATAAGATACAACTGATCCTAAAATGGATTCTGGTAAAGAATTATGTTCTCATGTGTTGCAAGGATTTAATGCCATTCATTTCTATAAATAAAATTGGAATGCAAGATTTTCTAAAGGTTATTTGTAAAATCATTATAATTTTTTATAGAGCAAGGGCAATCTTAATTTTTATTATAACAATATATTTAGTTATTATCTAACATCCCACATTTAGAATTTTTTACGACATATTTTTATTATTAACTTTTTATTATATGGAAATATAGCATTATTTCAGATACCAAAGAATTACCATATAGAACTACACTTAGCCGGAGTGGATTAGATGATGTGTATTTATCAATGAAAGCATACATATGCCAACATAATATAGGTCCTAAATTTTGTGCTATAACTATTAATACTTGGACCGACAAATATAGACAGCGAAATTATATCACCTTTACATTTCACGAAATAGATAATAATTTTAATATTATATTTAATACATTGTCGACACATCATGTCACTCAAAAACATACCGCTGAAACTATTCTTTCCGAGATGTAAATAGTTGAAAATGAATTTGATTTAGGGTCCAAGAAAATTCAAATGGTTACGGATGCAGGACCCAATATAAAGAAAAGTGTTCGTCTAGGAGAATATGACCATCATTTATGTTTGGGGCATGGATTACATAATCTAGTGACAGTCGATGGAATAAAATAGAAAATCTCATTAAAAAGTGAGAGAAGTTATAGTTGCCTTAAGATTCAAAACAGTGGATTTTGAATAAATAAACGATATAGAAAATAGAAAATGTTTTGAATCGATATCATATATATCCGATATTTTCGATTTGGATGATAATGATTCTTTTTATGAAGATCGTTTGGGTTTTGTGATGTAAATCAAAAATCATAAGAAAAAACAAAAAACCTTAAAATTAAATGTGCCCGTTGGTATAGTTGGTACATGAACTTTTAAATTTTCTTAAAACCTCCAAAAAAACTGTTGAATTTTTATCTGTCCAAAAAGGAGTAACTATAAATTTAGCCTTATAATTTCGTAGGAAAATTAATATGATAGTCCTCCCATAGCCTTAAACAAAATAGTGCTTACTAAATTTGATCATAGATTTCCAATAACCGATCTTCAGGTACTATTTTAAAATACATAAATTATTTTTATATATTATTTCTTTCTTTTATTAATTTACTTAGGTGTTAGGAGCACTTTTGGATCCTCGTTTTCGATCAATAAACATAGTAAATGAATATTTAAAGAAAAAAATATTACTCCGGTTGAATTTTTATAACACGCTAACTCTCTACGGCCTTACACGGGCGAATTAAACTAATATGAAACGACGGAAGTTGCTTCAAAACTCGATTATCTTAAGTCATTGGCTACGAAACATTCATCTATTCAAAACAATAACCTGGAACAACAACACTATTTAACTAGTTTAGAAAAAGAGTGTTATTCATTATTTTCGCCTTATAATTTGGAGATAAAAGATGTCTTAGATTTTTGGAAGATAAGAGCATTGGATCTTCCTAAACTCAATATTAGGTAGAAAGGTCCTGTGCCTTCCAGCTACGAGCACACCCAGAGAGCGTGTATTTGCTGGGCTCACTCTGAACTCTAAAAGATCATTATTATGTCCTTTAAATCTTAATAAAATAATATTTATTCATGATAATTATAACTTAATAAAATCATTAAATTATAGTTATAAACATAATAAAGTATAAATTTTATTTTAAAAGTGTTTACAATGAATTTATAAATTTAATTAAAAAAATTTAAGTTAGAAAAATATTAGACGCTGCCGCGCCGCCGCCGATTTTTGTGGCGGCTTCTAAATCGATTCGCCACCGCCAGCCGATCATTTTAAAAAAAGAAACGCCGCCGCCAAAAATGCTGTCGGCGCACATGTCTAGATACACCTAAGAAAATCATGAAACCTAAATCCTCATAACTATTGGTTATTTCCATATACATAGGTTTTGCTCATATTTTTAAATTTTAATTTAACGAACATCATATGTAATGCATTGGACTTATTGTTGATATTTTTTTGATAGAAGTGATGATCCAGAAAGTATTGTGTTTTTTAATTAAACACTCTCCAATATTATAAATAGTCTCTTATTTTGATGTTCAACTACATATATTTTGGGTTAGTCCATATATTTAAAAAGCAGGACCGAGACTTGATATAAAAAAATGCGCTGAGCAAACTTAATAAAAAATTGGAACCGTACTAGCCGGACAGGCTATAGATTTAACCAAGCCAGGTTAAACTTAATCCTAACAGAGCAGAGCCTGATAATTTTACCATATTTACATATACTATAAATGTGAGTTTAGCAGGCAAATATTTTATATTACACCAGGTGTTACAAGAAAAAGATCTAGAAGAAATATATTCAAGATCTGTGCTAATTTCAACAATTAAATAGGATTGAGAAAATAATATCTTTTATAACTACCAGAAAGTCAAATCCATGGATATCATTTTACATAAACGATGTTTGGCAGTAAATAAATGATTTAAGAAAAAATTATAAATTTATTTTACGGATTGAGATTCTGAATGTAGTTTAATATAATAATTTAAATAATGATTAGTTTAATTCATTATTTTATCTTACCCTATTTACATTGCATTTTTTTCCTTCTTCTTTTTCCTAATTAATTAATTGTGTATATATATTTTATTAACTATTCCACCAATTTAAATCATTGCTGAAGATGAAGTTTGAAACAGTAAAGTTAGAACTACGTAGCGCGAAGAAGAATTAATTTTTACATAATTTTAACCAATAATTAATTTAAAAAAATCTCATTAAAAAAAACTTATTTTTTACAAAAATAAATATAATATTTAAATAAAGGAAATACAACCGTTGATTAAGGGGATAGGCAGTCAACATTTACATAAAAAGAAATTTGTGGTAGGCATTTTGCAAATGTTTCCCCTATCCATGTAAAAAAATTGCGGGAAATATTCTCACAGCTTTTATATTATAACAAGAAGATGTTAAAATTATTATCCAAATTATTTGAGCTATCTTTTTATAATCTCTCTCCTCCCAAATCATATTCAAAAATTTCAAACATCAATCATAATTTAGAAACAATGACCAAAAATAGATTTAAAAAAAATGGTATCCAGTCATTGGTGACAAACACTTCTTCAAAGATATTATTGATAAAACATTGGCACGAATAGATTCTTATCTTCCCATAAATCCAATTATCTTCTTAAATATTATCCCCAAAAATATGCAACCGTATGCTCTATAGCTTTTTTCCAAATCTTCTTTGACACTTAAGAATTTTGAAAACCAAATAAAATCTATCATCAAGAAAATCCTTATATTATGATTAAGATGCATGCAAACCTACCAAACAAAATCGATGGAATTAGCTTATGTCAAGATTTCAATAAGTGGTTTTATATCTTGACATGTCAAGGAACAGAAAGATAGATTATTTATTTTAAAAAATATTGAATCTAACTTAGATGATAGATCTATTTAGAAAAAAATTATTTATAATGCATACTTTCTTTTCTTTTACACAATAATTTTGAAATAATATATATTTTAAAATTTATATCAATTATTTTGAGACACGAACTATAAATTAATTTATTGGCGTAGCCAGGATTTTCCTAAGGAAGATTAATAAATTTTTGGGGACTTCGCCCCCAGACCCCTCTTTTGCCGGGACTTCGACCTGCGTTTTTCCAGTCTTTGCCCATATATAGCTAAAAAATATTTTTGTAAGATAGGATGTTAATTTTAATTGTTATATTGATTCTTTAGTTTTATTCATAATATATAACATCAGTCAAAATGGAATCAAGGAAAAAGATATATATATTTATTTCAATATTAGAATAAATCATTCGATAAATATAATTTCTAATTTAGGTATGAAAAAATTAATTTTAAGAAAATTAATTTACAAATATCGTTTTAGATAGAACTAATGTTTAAAAATGAAAGCTTATTTGATATTTTGGTGCATATTCTGCAGAAAGCTCAAAAATATATATATAAACTAGAAGGTCGGGCAGAATCCTATCTGATAATGAATTATTGTAAATTAAATTATATATGATATGATTTGTGATAGACAATATCGGGTAATCTATATAATTAAGGTTTGTTATATAATTAATTAACAAAATTTTTACTTCCATTGTATTATTAAAATATAACGAGGTTTTACTGTGTTAAGTCATGAAATTGTGTCCTGGTACAACTTATTTTTGATACTTATTGCTTTTTTAGCCTAGGACGAGGACACCCTATTTTGGTTTGTTTTAAGCGTTTGGGTTTTTTTTCGTTTCGTTTTGTTATGTTTTTTTCTCTCTTAACTTTTTAGGCTGTTTATTCGAAGCCATATACAGCAGGCTGTTTGGAAATAAGTCGTACCAGGACAGAATCTGAGAGTTTATATTAAAAGTAATTTTAGCTTTATATAGGACAAATATACAAATTTTCAAAAAATATGTGTTCACCTCTGGTGTTCCCTCTGATTAAAAAATCGTGATTATATTACTAGCCTGTTTTCATATGAAATTAATTATATTATAATGTTTTTAATATACAAAATCTATAATGTTATTATTCAAATTATATATTGTTATTATCATACAAGGCTTTATATAAGTATAAATTTGTATTCGATCATAATAAAATATTATAAATAAAAAATTTTTTATTTGTCCACCATATTGGCGAATCACATTAGGATTTAAGGATGAGATTAATTTAATTTAATGAAATTAAGAGAAGTATTTTTTTTAGGAAAGAATAGAGACTATAAACAACAAAGTGTGATAAACTATCCAATTCACTGATTTATAATTAAATTATTAAAATTTTAAATATTTGGGATATTTATTTGCAGCACCCATTATAATATAAAGAATTATAACTGTAGGACGATTTTCTCTTGCGAGTTAAAGAGTCGTTCGTGTGAGATGATAATTTGCGTGATTTATTGTGAAGATGCGGAAGCATATTGATATGGCTCGTAGGATCTCGACTCTTATTAAGCAAACATCTACAATGTGTATAATGTGTACAAATAGAAAATACCGTGAAGATTTTATGTTGGTCCCCAACTTTGCATAAATAAATTTAATATGACAGACCCTCCCAGCCATATGAAGTAAATTGTGGAAAATAAAAATCAATTATCCTATCCTACCCAAGCTTCGTGTAATCACTGATAAATGCAAATTTTTTAGTCTATATCATAATTAAGGGTCCACCAGTCTGTCACTAATTTTATAAAACATTTTTTAATGACGAAAAGAATTTTTTTAGTGATTACATGCCCGACTAAATCGATAAACATTTTAAGGTTAAATTCATTGAGGACCATAAATAAACTATTAATAGTTCTTTATTTAAAATTGTAAAAGAAAATATATGATATAAAAAAAGAAAGACGAAATAAATGGGATAAACTTCATTTCGACGCCTGAAAAATCTCATTTTAAGTATTTTTTTCTCACCCACACTGTTATAAAAAATAATTAGATAGGTGTGATTTATTAATAATTTTTAATTTTTAAAATTAATTAATAAATATCTTTATAAATTAGAAATTATATATTAAGACTTGATTTGATGAAATTGATATAAGCAAAATGAAGAACATATATTACTTTGCCACGAATAAAAATGCATCTTGAACATTATATCCCGTCTTAGCACTGACCTCCATAAAATATACGTTATTCTCCTAAATTGGTAATCAGATTAAATATTTGTTTATATTATATGAACCTTAGCTATTCTAATACCATCATCTTTATTTACTTTTCGAAATGACGAGGAAACATCACTCTTATTGGCTAGTAATAGTAAAACCACTTCTGGAGAAGCGTATTGTTTGATTTCAATCAACCAAGCCTTAAATGTTAAATATATGAGATGAATAAATCGCAATTGATATAAAAAAACAAAAGAATGGGGTAATTTAGCGCCTCAGGTCAAAATAAAATTAACAGCTCTTTAAAGGCCCCTGTTTACTCAATAAAAAATTATAAATATAAGAAATAAATACGTCATTCTCATATGGGAGAAACGTAGAGTAATATACTTCTCAATATATTTAATAAAGTTTAACAATTTGTATACTTTCCACTTTTAACTACATGATAATTATTTTCTAGTGGCCCCTAAGATGGTATAATTTTAGCATCCAGGGTCTCCGCCCTTGCTTCTCACACAGGCCTATTTGAAATGCATGAGCAATATTTTATTGCCAAATCATTATAGAAAAATAATTTTATTATCCTATCATCTATTTAAAATCTTAAAGTAGTTGTTTTAGATCAAATTTAATTCGCAAATAGATCTATAAACAATTTTTTATGCAAATAAATCATACAAGTTTTATATATAAAAGATTTTCTTACAAAAAAAATTTTAAATTTTAAGTAAAATAGTATTCACAAAAAAAAATCTATTTAAAAAAATCAAATCTTTACTTTTTTTAATCTTGAGATATTAAACTCTACAAATACCTTTTTATTTTGATGATTTGTGCTCTTGAATAAACAGTAAATGTCTAGTTAACTGCAAATTCCGCAAGTAAATATTGTATACTCTATTAATTACATTTTAATTAACAGCAAGTTAACCACCTCAACACTCTATATATTGTCCCTTTTTAAAAGGGAGACAGCTCCTACACTAAGCCATCAATTCGATTATCATTAGGGAGATTGAGAGCAACAGATATTTTTCCTCACTAGAAACCTCTAACCACAGCCCCGACATAATTCCTTAGAATTAAGATGTACGTTTTCTTGGAATTCGTAGATGGTTTTGCTTAATCTTTTTCTACTAAATTACATCACGAGAGAAGAAAACGTAAAAACTAAAATACAGCAACCTACTTTCTATTAAGGTGATTTTCGACACCTCAGCTTTTGGACCTCAAGCTCTAATCTTTTCCCTAATAAATAGGACAAAAGCTACGTGCTATCATAGGTGTAGTGTAATGTATTTATATAAATTGAATTTTATATTTGCTTAAAGCTACAATTTATTACAATTTATAAAAATAGAAAAACATCTATATATATATTATTATATGAAATAAATCACTTTATATTATTGTATTGTTCTGAATACATTTCATTTGGCGACGATTTATTTTCAAGTCATTTTTGATGACGACGAATTATTTTAAATAAAAAGATTAAAATTATAACATGCCTCTGAAGAAGATTGAAGAACTTACTCAATTTCATATTTTTGAATTCATAAAAGAAAAGGTTAATATTCAAGATTACCTATATAATATAGAACTCATTCAAAAAATATTTTCGATCAAAATAAAAAAAAAGATTTATTATTGGCCCATATAGGCACTGAAAATTTAAAAATATTTATTTTCCTAATAATTTAGATAATATAAATTATTTAACTTTACTCAAGAATTTAGAAAAAATTTTTAAGGATGCCTCGAGTATTTTTCTTCATAGAAACAATTTTTATACCTTAAAAAGAAATAATGAAACTATTATTGATTTTTCAATTAAATTAAAAAGCATTTGCTCTTTATATAATTTTAAATCGCCGGTTGATGAACTCTTAAGAGATATTTTCATCTTAGGAGTAGAGTTACCTGAGCTGGACAAAGAACTTCGGTCAAAATATGCCGAAGGAAATATTACTTTTGAAGATACTGTGCGTCTAGCGATAGCGCTGTCTTCATTGGAGAAGGAAACCCTGACAGAATTTAATAAAATAATTAAACATAAGCCTATGCAAGGTTCCAAAAATACTTATTTTAGGAATAATTATAACAATGTTAACAAATTCAATAATAATTATAATGCAAAATTCAACCATAATTTTTATAAACCAAGTTTAAACCTAATTTCAGTCAAAAAAAAAGTAATATGCTTTAGATGCGGAAAAGCAAACCACATAGCGAAAGAGTGTAGAACGCATGCTATACAAATGATTTTATCACGGACGCCTCGCCTGTCTTTTGCTAATAAAGCTACAATCGATGCGAAGATAAATGGACTGCAGCTTACTATGGAATTCGATACTGGGGCGGCGTGTAGTGTGATAGACGAGGTTACCTGGAGTCGCATAGGCAAACCACCATTATCACCTGCTTATAAACTAGTAGGATATAACCATATCAAAATCGAAGTATTGGATAAATGATTAATGGAAGTCGAAGTAAAAAATATTTTAAAATTTTTACCTATTTGGGTAGTTAAGGGTGAGAATTCCCTTATTTTTGGAATGCCCTTTTTTAAAGAATTTGATATAAAACTTCCTGAAGAAGTTCGTATTAATAATATAAATATGAAAGATTCCAGTTTAAATACTATTGTTTTAAAATTTCCGCAAGTTTTTAAAAAAAATTAGGACAAATAAAATTACAGGAAGCCGTCATCAAAATACAACCAAATACAGTGCCAATTACGCTGCCATCTAGATGAATTCCATTTCCGTTGCGTCGAACCGTTGAAGCTGAGTTGGACAGACTTTTAGATGAAGGCGTTATCGAGAAGGTACATCCAACAAAAACTCCAATTACTTGGGCTACGCTAACGGTTAATATTTTAAATAAATCCGGTGCCGTGCGGATATGCGGAGATTTTCGTTTAAGAATCAACAAATATTTAGCGATAGATAACGATTTACTACCAACTTTCGTCGACCTAACAAATAGGATCGCGGCTGGTAAAATATTTTCAACGATAGATTTAAGAGATGCATTTTTACAATTCGGAGTAGAGACCTTTTAGTAATTTCGACTCATGTCGGTTATTACCGATGCCAAAGAATTCCTTTTGGGTTGACTAGCGCTCCGATAATATTTCAACGCATTATGCAAAACCTATTAAAGGGTATTCCTCTAATCTAGAAGAAGTATTAAGAAGATTTGATAAGGCTGGACTGACAACGACAACCGATAAAATTAAAATTGGAGAAAAGTCAGTTACTTATTTAGGCCATGTTATTGATGAATTCGGAATTCACCCGACCGAAGATAAGATTAATGCTATAAAAAATTGTAAAACATCGTCTAATGTTAAAGAATTATGTTCGTTTTTGGGAATGGTAAATTATCATGAATCGTTTACTTTCGGCAGCTGAAAAGAATTATGCCACAATTGATCGGGAAGCTTCGGCGATCATGTTCGCTATCGAGAAGTTTCATCAATATATTTATGGAACATTTTATTTTGGTTACAGAACATAAACCTTTAAAATATATCTTAGGTGATAAAAGAGACCTAAATAAAATAACAAATAACCATTTAATACGGTGGGTCACGAAGCTTTTAAATCACAACTTTGAGATAATTCATAGGCCGGGTAATCAAAACAGATGCGCTGACGCCCTGTCCCGTTAGGGGGTAGAGAGAGAAAAAATTAATGAAGTTAAAAAAAAATTTGAAAATGAAATTAGAGAAGTAAAGATCAATTTAATGGAAGATTTATCATACACTCGAAGTAAAGTTATAATTGAAACGATCAATGATATAGAGATCATTAAATTAATAAAAAATCATTGGCATATTGATAATATGAATAATTATTCGGAAAGTTTAAATAAATTCATCTTAATTAAAGATAATATTTCTTTGGAAAAAGGGCTATTATTTTATAATGATAAAATCTCATTCCTGATAACCTAAAAAAAGTGGTTTTGAATGTTATCCATCAAGGACATCCTGGGATAGTGGGGATGAAATCCTTATGCAGATACTATGTCTTCTGGACAAATCTTGATCGAAATGTTGAAGAATTCGTCAAAAACTGCAAGAGTTGTCAGGAAGGTAGACCGGGAGCCAGAGAAGTACCATTATACAATTGGAATATTCTTACCCGACCTTGGGAACGAATACACATTGATTTGACAGGCCCCGTGTCTAGAAAGTACTGGTTAATTTGCTTAGACGCTTTCACCAAATGGGTTGAAGTTGCAATTTTAACACATATTAATTCGACGAGTGTAATAAATAATCTCTGTAATTATTTCGCTAGATTTGGTTTACCTCGTTACATTTTCTCTGATAACGGTACTCAGTTTACTGGATCTGAATTCAAAACGTTTCTTTTTAAAAATAATATAAAACATTTTAGATCGGCCTCTTATAGCCCCAAATCGAATGGTTTGGCTGAGCGTTATATACGTACGATAAAGACGCGTTTCTATGCTGGAAGGAGAAGTGGGACTCCGGACCAATTAAATTTAGCGAATGTTTTAATTACACACCGAAATACTCCAAACGCAACTACCGGTAAATCCCCTGCCGAAATGAAGTTTGGAAGGCCGCTCAGAACGACGTTAGATCAATAGAAATTATCTACGAGAGAAAGGAGAAAACGCGTTATGGAAACAAAAAAATTATAATGATAGGAACGTTGAGCCCCGTGAATTTGAAGAGAAGCAAAAGATTTGTATAAAAAACGAAAGGACTGCATGGCATGAAGGGACAGTGGTTCAACGGAAAAGTGCGATATTGTATGATGTTGAGTCTGAGGGTATTGTAAAAAAACAAGCATGCCGACCAACTGAGAGTAGCTCATGTATAAGCTAAAGAAACACCCATAACAATGACTGAAGATTTGGACATTGCAGAATATAATAAAAATACAACTCTAGAAAAAAGGGTTTCAAAACCCCCATTACGTTATTATGATGAATTCAATTTATAGTGGGGAGAACTGTAATATATTTAAATAAATTGATTTTTATATTTGATTAAAGCTACAATTTATAAAAATAGAAAAACATCTATATATATATTTTATTATGTGAAATAAATCACTTTATATTATTGTTCTAATACATTTCAATAGGCAATGAAAAAATGGGGTTTTACTTACGGCAAAGAATATCCACGTAATTTGCCGATCCAACTGTATTTCTATACAGTGATCATCATAGATTTTTAATTGGTGTTTTAATATAAAGAATATGAATATACGCTTATTTTCAATTGATCTTAAAAAAAATTGTATATTCATTGTTAATGTTATTATATATTTTTTTAAATAGATAAAAAAAATTACATTAACTTTAAACGAGTAATATAATTAATTTGATAGATGTAAGTAAATATGGTATTTTATTTTAACATATAATTAAGATATATTGAAATAGTATTTTATTCGTTTAAAAAATAATACTACACAAACAAGTCATTAATTAAGAGTTATAAATTAATATTTATAATCTAGTAATAGAGATGATTTAAATATTTTAATTAAATTATTTATATTAAAAATGAGAATAAGATAATATATTTCTAATTTTCCTCAAAGTGCCGTTAATAAATTTAGGGACAATTTAAAAAAATTAGAAATTCTGTATTTTGTACCTCATTTTATCAAAATCTCAAAATATATAAAAATAAAATTAATTATAATAATAAATTTATTTTACTGGTGAATTAATTTAAATAATATATATACTTACTTTATTGTTAATATTATTAAAATCATGTAGGAAAAATTTAATTACAAATAATAATACTGGGTAAAAATTATATTTACAAATCTATTAAAATACAAAGAAAAAGAAAAAGATATATTTACTGAAAATTTTATACTTAATAAATGACAATTTTTTTATTATATACTGGAAAAATAATTTTTAAACTGGTAATTTCGAATAAAATACTAGAAAAATAAATAACTGAATACAGAAACATAATGCATATATTTACAACTCACACGAATGTTATCGAATGAACTTTTACAGCTAACATCGTACAACAGTAGCAAAGCTAAACATGTAAAATAAAAATTAAAATAATGGATGAGAATCTTTTTTCTTAATGACTCAAAATAAAAATACCTAAAGCAAAAGAATAAGGATTTTGTCAAGTAAAATTTCTGATTTTCTTAGAATTTTCTTTTTTTTGAATTTCTCAGAAATACTAAAATGCTCATAAATTTTTGCTATTTTAAATGTTTTATGCGTTTAAGTAAATTTGGTTTTAAACGTTCATCTTTTACCTTACATTATTTATAAATTTTTGAATAGGAAAAGTTATGTGGTCAGACCTGTTAGACTTTTTTTTATAGCATAATAATTAATATGGGAGGGAGGAGGGATATATAATTAAAATTAGATTTTTTTAAATGATAATAGAATTAAATCTATCTTATTAATTTTCAAATTTTTATTATAATTTTATGTGAAATCTTACAAACAACCTTATTTTAATAATCAACAATTGTCCAATCATTTATTTTACAAAGATGTTTCTACCATTCAAATCAGAGTTATATCTTACTTAAGAGGAGCTCTGGCTCGAGTCATCGATTTCTCTCATACAAAATTTAATGATCATTTGACTAAGTTTATAAAAAAATGCCTTCGCCTTGTTAGAAAAATGTTGCTCGTCTCACTCGCAATGTTTAATCTTGCTATCAAAATTAAATTTGATTTTTCTTACCAAATGGTATATTCCTGTTTATATAAAACGAAAGGATGTATAATTGTTATATTAAAGTCGCTTAAATCTGGGGGGCAAAATTTTTTGCCACCAATTTCATCAATGAAAGTTCAATTTTTTACATATAATGATTTTATTACTATTACTATGACTTTTAAAATGCTTTCGATACCAATTCTATCAATATCGAGGCTTTTTCCTTTTTGTTTCTTATATTCCTAACAATATTAATCTTTCTACATTTTACAAGATTCAAAGCTCTTTAGATATAATGTATGATATGGGATAATAATTTGCGCCAACTAGAAAGGGAGGACTTTCTATTAAAGCTTATCAAATATTTTGTTATAATTAGATAGATGGCAATAGAAAATATTAATAGTGTGATGGGACTTATCAATTTTAGAAAAATTGCACTACTATTATATTGCAATAATACCAGAATGAACCTAGGTTCTTCCTAGTCAGATGTAAAATTTTATATATTCTCAATTCTCATTATCGAATAAAGGCAATCTAGCTAATAAATTTTTAATAGTATATAAAATTTTATTTAATATTTTTTAAAATATATTCCTACCATGTGCATCACGATAATATGCATGAGTTATACTTCTATACCGTTCTTGTCCGGCAGTGTCCCATATCTATTTAAAAAAAAATATTTGATAAATTTTTAAATGTTATGTTATCAACAGCAATAAAAAAAAATTATGGTAATGATTTGCTATTAGTATTATTTTAATATTATTACTAAAGATCATAAAATCCCTATATCTAGAAGTTATTTTACTAAAAAAAAGGTTTAATTTGAAATCTGTAAAGCCAGCAAAGATCTATTTAATTTATTATCAGGTCAATATTTTAAATTCCGTTTGATCAATATTACAATTAAATAAATAGAAATAATTTCATTGAATGTTCAAATATTACTTTAATTTTTTATAAATTTAAATGTTGATATGAAAAAATGGTGTTCTTTTACAATTTATAAAAAAGTATAAAACTAATTAACCTGTAATTTCACCTTTTCATTCTCCACTTCTATAGTTTTACTCTGAGATACAATGATGCATTAAAAAATGAAATGTAAAGGATTGTAATATTGGTATGAAAAAATATATAAACAATATCAACTTTTGTAGTTATTTGATTTATTTTTTACCAACCTTGACATTATTTACAATAGTATAGACAAAGATTCCCCAAACAAGATAAAAGTATCCCACTTGCAAAAATAAGATGTTAGCAAATTTTGACAAAACTTTGGGCTTTATTGTCATACATTATAGTCAACATAGATCTCAATCTTTGAATCTCTCCAGCTCATTTTTATATATTTCTATATATTGACTGACATTTTTCTCACGATAGATCATGCCGCATAACAAAGTTTTTGGATAAGACAAAAATTAATCAATACTCGAAATTTTTAAATAAATGAGAAGATATCATTTATGATGATCTTAAATACTAAAGTATAAAGGAACAATAAAAATTTCAAAATTCCCATGGGATAAAAATGTCGATTTAATTTCCCTTTTAGTCTTTTTTATATAATATATAAAATCTTTTTGCCAAAAATATGTTATCAAAATTTTTTAAAGATGTTGGTAAAATTTAAAAAAATATATTTTTGACGTAATGTTTTTTTTCTCCTAAAATTAATAATTGTGCCGTTAGTAATTGAACGTGTTATATTGGATGAAGAGTTATTTTAAAAGGCAGATGGCATGAGCTAAATTTTAAGAAAAATAGAAATTTTGTCAGTCCAGAATAAATTCTTCGAGATTTTATCATTTGAGCCTAAATTGGGTTTCATCTATACTCAAATTATAGGCCGTTCTAATATGTATAATACATCATCTTAAAAGCAAAACAAGACATTAATGTTGTGGAAAAGACTGGAGCGCAACGTCAACAGGGGTAAGGAAGAAAATGCCAATAACTTTTCAGCCATTTGAGCTAAATAACTAAAATTTGATCAAAGTGTATTTTTATAAATATTTTTACCATGTATTTTACTAGAATTAGGTTATGCGATCGACAGTTTTTTTTAGCCTGCCTTTATAAATAAATAAAAATATAATTAATAAAAAATTTTAAAATTTTTAAGAGAGATTCTTCATTGCCTATCAAATAAAGTGGCCGGGAACTTCTAGCTCATCTAGAAGTAATTCGCCCCTATTGCCACCTCATCCCGGATATAGGGTTAATTGGAGAATTTGTTCACCTCTCATATATTTAGGACTTACCTAAACTATGAGAGATTGAAGATTTTTTCTATTTTATAGCTTGATGATGAGGTTATCATAGTGCATTAATAGTTTTATTCTAATTCCTAAGATAATTTATTTGCAAATCGGGAAAATACTTCTTAAACCGATCTCCATTAGTTTATCTTATATTTCATTTTCAAAATTGAAGGGATAAAATTTCTTTCCCTTTTTTTTGTTATGATAACATAAACCCAATAGAAAAACTATCATGAGAACTGTTTTATTTCTTATTAATATAGAAAGTCTCCCGTCAATCCTTAATTACGCCTTTCAACAAAATAGTAAATTTTTTTACCAAATATTGTCAAATTTTAAACTAAAAAAATTGTAGCACTTACAAAGGGAAGTGTTTTTCTATTTGTTTATTTTAAATGGAACATGCAAAATTGGTAATTTTTGGGTCAAAAAAACGCAATTTATCTCCATAATTTAAAATAATATATATATTCACTTAGAAATTTTTATATAAAATTTTTTGTAAAAAATTTTTTATATGAAAAATCTATTAAAAATATTTTGGGCTCTGTCCTAATTTTTAAGAATTCCAAATTTTATTTTGAATAATGAATTTTTGAGACTTAAAAAATAAATATCTTTAAAGTATTTTGAAGATATCATCACATAATATCAAAACCTACAATTTAAAAAAAAAATGGTGAACAGGCTGATATTCTAAATAGAATTCAGAATTAAGAACAAAAAAATGAGTTGAGCTAAGGTTCGTTTATGAAGTTCAAAAATATTCATTCATGGTAAAAATTGTTTGAAATTTAATAAAACAAAGGGTATTATGTATGCACTTTATATACTGCTCAAAAATACATTTATTGTAAAATATAATTTTTTTTAAAAAATTAAATTATCTTCAAATATAAATGTTTTGAAAAAAATCTTAATCACGAAGTAATGACTCTGCAATTTTTTTTAAAGGTAATAAAAAAAATTTGTTTTGATAAATCTCGCTAGCAATAAATGGAACCCATAGAGAATTAATGGTGTAGTTAAACTGCTCGATTTGAGACATTTTTAAAAACGGCAAAATATTTTAACCATAAAAAATATTGCCTAAACCTCGAGATTTTGCTAACAGATGTTTAAACCTTTTATGCCATCTAGGGCCAACATTCTTCTTTGTAATTTATTTCTGGACAAAATATTGAGTTAGCTGTTTTTAAAATATTGGCTCAAATTTAGCCGTTATACAACACTATTACGAATCTTGCAATTTTAATTTATTTAAAACGAGATTTTTTTCAAAAAATGTGATAAATATGATATGATCGGAAATGGATTATCAACATGTGTAGAAAATGCCTATCAAGTTTCGGACAAATTTCTCGCTAACTTCTGAACCTTACTCTATATTTTTAAAATTGGTTTATAGATTTTTTCCTTCATATATAAATTCAAGAAAATACACAAATGTTCGTAATGAAATTGTCTGAAATTCTACAATGTAAGTATTCTATATATGCTAGGGATTTTTTACTCCTGGAAGAGAGAGGTGAGGGGTTATGTGCAAGATCACCAGTAAAATGGGAGGGATTAACATTTGAATGGGATTTGATGGGGGGGGGGGTAAAGGGTAGTTTTGATTTAGATTTTATATTTATCTTTTTTCTTTCTAATTTTATTTGGATTTCATGTATTTCTTAATTTTTAATTTGGCAGGAGAAGGGTAAAAGGTAAAACTCAGAGAAAGTGGGAGGCATGGTGGGGGAAGGGGGTAAAATTATCACTGACTTGGAGGGCTGGGACGTAAAATTTGCTCATATATGCTATTCCAGATCAAATCAAATTTTTATTAAATTTATAAATTTTCAACAATATATTATTCCAAACTCATAAATTCCAAACCTTATCTTATACCTAAAACGAATTATTTGTTATTCGATATTCTATTTGATTAGATTCAATTCGTATACACAATTATTGGATTCGAAAAAATATATTATTCGTCGAATAATTTTTTATATATTATTCGTCGAATAATTTTTTATATATTATTCGTCGAATAATTTTTTATATATTATTCGATCGAATTATTCAAGATTATTCGATTAAAATAATTTATATTAATAAATATCGAAAAATAATCATATATTATTAGTAGGAATTATTTGCAATTATTCCTATTTAATAAAATTTCCTAGTGGAATAATGAAGAAACATTTTATATTTCTAAATGTTGTTAACTGCTGTTTTTATTCGAATAATTCATAATACAAAATTAACTTCATTGTTTTATGATGGACGAAGAAAGTATTTTTTTATATGTAATTTATAACACATATACAATTATAAATAACTAGTAGCTATCCCATCAAGAATGACGGGCGAACCAGATATTTCTCCTTTGTTTGATGATGGAGAAATCATAAATTTGACTTTTTGCAAAAACTTTGTGTTTAAAAAATTAGTTGTTGGTATATTTGTCTTCTACATGATATGAATATTATATTGATTTTTCTACATTATATATAAATATACTATATATGTAACTATATTATCTTACTAATAAAATTTGTTTGTCTTTTATCCATAATTAAATTTTACAAAATAAATTTAATAACGGTTAAATAAAATTTTCGAATTGAATCGAATATTCGAAGAATCTAATCGAATAATCATTTTATTATTCGTACGAATACGAATAATGAATTATTCGATTTAAACGAATACGAATAATTCCATTATTCGATTCGGAATTTCGAATCGAATACGAATAATACAATTATTCGATTTGATTCGTTTTGTAGGTCTACCTTATCTATTCCATATCCTAGCAGATGTATTCGTATTTGATGATTAAATATTTTATACATTATAATTTCACACAAGAAACCAATTATAGCAGTATTTATATAAATGTGGAAATAAGGAGAAAATTAATTTTCCTTTTCTTATATAAATGTTATTTATCAACGAATTCTTAATTTAAAAATTTATATTTTTAAACAATTTGAAAAAAGGCATATTTCAAAAAATAAAAATCAATAAATACCAAAAAATTATATAAATTTTTAAAAATTTTAAACTAAAAAAGGTTCAATTTTTTTAAAATTGTTTCAAATTTCCTAATCCAAAAAATCTTATAAATAATTGAAATTTTTTTTTATAAAAATTAGGTACTAATTATATTCACACTGTAATATTTTTGGGAGAAAATATTTCTTCATATTCGTTTGAAAATATCATTTTTAAATTGGCAAATATTATTTTTCACGAAGTACACGCTAGAAAATTAGAATTAAATTTATTTCTAAATTTATCGTGATAATCTTCTTTGGACAATTTGTGTCTGTAATGTTTTAATTTAGAAAAGTATATAGGAAAATTTATATAAATTTAGAGCAACTTTATATGACCGATATCAGGCCTGTTAACGATACTTTTAAAATGTCACCTCACCTAATTTTCCCAGATTATTTAATACCTTTACTTTAAAATCGCTCTCCCATGCAATTTATTTTAATATCATTAAATATTATATAAATATATATTAAACACATATTCTAATATATAATTCCTAAAGTAAATAAATACTTTATAAGATATAGTTAATAGCTGGAGATGGGAGACGGGGGAGGGTTAACTAAAAAAGATGATACGAAATATAAATATACCAGGAAGTTTAGAGGGAGTACAACAAAATAAAGCTAAAATGGTATGGACACACAATGGGAAGACCCGAAAACAATGTTGGAAATAAAGTTAAAAGTTTAGAAGTGATGGGTAGAAGAAGAAGAGGCAGGTCAAAACCAATAAGTCCATAAAAACCAATATGGCAAAATATATATTAATAAGGTGGATTATATGAACAATAGAAAATGGAGAGAAATACTGAAGAAGATTACCATCCAGGTGAAAGCTAAAATAGAAGATAAATTTTTTTTATTAAAAATTAACTATATTTGTCTTTATGTCTGATCTTTACAATCATATCCAAAGTTTAAATTATACCCGAGAAAACAGTAACGAAGGGTTTACCGCCTAATTCAAGTTATCAAGTTTTAATTTTTTTTCTTTTTTAAAATTTCATAGTCATACATATATTATATTTGAATATTAATATTGGTATATGAATCTGATTTAACGTATATACCCGATTTAGGTGTTTAAATATATAATTTAATTTAAAAAAATTTTTTTTTTTAATTTAAGTTTAATATAAATAATTAATTAATTCCTATAATAATTAGCTGCAAACATCGACATAACCTGAAAACTCAACCTATTGCAATTAATACAAATTCAGGCTGTCATTTGGAAATATTTTTATTATATTATGAATCTGATCAACAAAATCGTGCTTTGATTGAATTATTATTTTACGATATTAGAACTTTGTTTAATATTTAAATTATTTTTTTTTAAACTTACATTTTAAAAATATTTTGATTTTCGGGTCCATGTTTGAATTGAATTGGGGAAATACTTTCAATCTTACCCTTCATTCACAGTTAGTGCGAATTCTTCGTGAATATACATAAATATACAAAATATTTTGCATACTTCCCCTCGAATTCGTACTAACTATGAATGCAGGGTAACCTCTCATTCACTGTTAGCTTGAATTAGCGACCGAGAATACAAAAATACATCGTATTTTTTATAATTCGCCGGCCAATTTGCGACTATTAATGCAGGGTTACGGGTCTAGGTTTCTCTCTATACCACGTATATTTATATAATGTTAGACAATGTGCGGAAAATACGTTTTTCGACAAAATCAGACCTCCATATTTTAAAAACGCATTTATTTAAAAAAATTTTTTTAATTTTTTTTAAGTATATTAGGACATGTTTAAAATTCCTGCCCTATAAATTTTATACCATTTTATAAGATATTATACATTTTTCCTGGCAGTAATATATAGATATGATAAGATTTCTAAATAAAAAAATTAGATAACCTATTAAATTATAATTTCCTAATATACACTATAACCTTGTTAATTGTGAACCTTATTTCAAAGTAAGGTTAGATCGGGCGTTTTCCTTTTTGATCGGGAGATTTTCTTTTTTGATCGGACTTTTTCCTTTTTTGATCCAAATTTTTCCCTTTCTTATTGGACCTTTTCTTGGTTGACTGAGAAACTCTCTAAATGGTTAAAGAGGAAATGAGAAATCCTCCTCATCTCCATTTAAAATTTAATTTTTTCCATTAATAAAAACTCGTACCTCCGTACCACCCCCTGCCACCACCTCTCCAAAAATAATAAATAAAAAAAGTATAAATGGATTAATAACTCCTTAAAAAATAATTGTAAAACATTTTATTTAATTTAAGTGAACAAATTATCTCCCTTTAATCAAGGTTCACTATGACTAGTTTATACACTATTATATACAGCAAAATAATTATTAATACCCGAAAATCGATTCCAACTGTAGTCATAAAATTGCCCCCCAAAAAACTTCCTTCTTTGAATCTTACGAGAAGACACGTTTTTCCAACACCCGAATCTCCCAGTAGCATAATCTATTTATAAAAGATATAATAAAATACAGGTGGAAATATTGACATAATGAAAAATTTTATCTCGATGAGTCTCTATTCTCTAATCGAATTTCTTCTGACATATTTTTTTCTTCTAAATTAAATATTTTTAACAAACGGATCAAGCAATTACTTCACATCCTATTGGATTAAAAATGGTCTTGATTAATTCCTTTATGCTGCGTTTATAATGCTAACATACTTTTATATAAACATAAATTAAGGTAATCTTATAAATAAGGAACTTTCGAGTTATTTTATTTTATTTTACGTTATTTTTCTACTAAAATTATCAAAATATTAAGTTAATAAATATAATAGCGTTCGCTTATATTCAATAAAACGTCAATTTGTTGCAATCTTTTAATATTACAGTTTTCGAGCGTAAACGTTACTAAAAAGAAGTAATCTAGGACTCTTATCTTGAGATCAATATGCCGGATTATTTTACATTTTTATGACTCCGATTTAAAAATTATGAAAATTTATTATTGTTATTATATTATATTTATATAAGAAAATACATTAAGAATTATAAATATACATTACATTAATGTTTATTTCCATTATCATTATATTAAATTGATATATCGTAAAAAATAAATTATTAATATTTATAAATATTTTATATAAATTATAAATTCTTTGATATAAAATTCAAAATTTATGAAATACTATAAAAACCCATATTTAAAGGAAATTAAGAAAGAAAGATTGAAAGAAAATTTAAATGATCATGCGTGTAGGACCGAGTGTCAGTAGTTATCGATTAGATGAATATAGACAAGACAATGTGTAGTTTGGGCATGGATAACATATTCTTGTCACAGTGAATGAAATATAAAGAAAGTAAAACAGAAACTCTTATTAAAATTAATTGGAGAAATTATTATAGCGTTAAAAATTTAAGACTTTAGATTAGACGAAGTAATTACTTTCCAAAATAGAAAATGCGCTGCGCAGAAGCAATAGACGCCACTTCTGTTATATTAGATATGGTTGATAAAAAATGCTTGAATTCGATTCATGTATAAATGATGTCTTACAAATTTAAAAAAATAAAAACTAGATGTGCCTAAATGTTAGCATAGCTTTTTATTTTTGCTAGAAAGAATAAGTGGAATTGACGAAAAGTCCAATTATTATCATATTAAATAGCAATGGTGTATCCAGACTTTTCCTATAGGGGTGGGGGGAATTGGGGGCTGCCGGGTCATATCTTTGAGTTATTCTTTTTAATTATTCATAATACAATAATTATTATATTAATATATTTAGCTTTTATTTACTAATTCGCGCTTATGGATATTTAAAGAAGAAATAAAGGTTATAACCCAATTTTTTTTATTATTTTAAGTTAGGTATATATTAAATAAATTTTTTTAAAAAATATTAAATTGAAATAAAGTTTTATATCATTTTTTTCATGAAATTGGCTTTATTTTTTTTATCGGCCTGCAGGTTCTATACTCTAAGAAATAATTTTTCTAATTATTGATTATTTACTTGCTTATTTCCTACAATCACTTTTTAAATATTCTTTTCCAAAAAAAGGTATTATCTTTTCTTTTTGTTAAAAATATTTATTTATTGTTATTCTTTAATTTGTCTAAAAATATTTTATTTTTTTTAAATAATAAAAAAGACTTTTCTCTATTAATTACATAAATTATATTTCACTCTAATAAATGTATTCATAAATTTTCCCATTGCTTAATAAATTATTGATTTAGTGATATTCTGTTTTTACTTTGTATGGAAAACTTGTGAAACATGCTATGGACATTACCTATAATATTATCGTTTTATAAATGCGGCGATAATTTAAAATATACCACATAAAAAGAGTCCTTAAAGCTGCTATTTATAGCAGAGGAGAAGAAATAAATTGGCAACAAATAATAATAGATAAATGTCATTTTGATCTTGATATCATTATTCGAAGTGAAACTTCAATCTAATTTAAAATAGAAATTAGACTTACTTTTCCTGTTGCACCAAATGCAGTAGAGAATATTTAAATAAGTATGTCATAACAGTTAAAATGTGTAATATAATCAGACCATAATTTTGGAATCTAGGAAAATAATTCCCCGGAAAAAAAATCCCGGAAAAAAATTCCCGGAAAATAAATCCCCGGATATTAATTCCCCGGAAAAAAAAATCCCCGGAAATTATTTCCCCGGAAAAAAATCCCCAGGAAAATAATTCCTAGGAAATAAAATACCCGGAAAATAATTCCCCGGAAAAAAATTCCCAGGTAAATAATTCTCCGGAAAAAAAAATCCCCGGAATAAAATTCCCCTGAAAAATAATTCCCCGGAAAAAATTTCCCCACTATATATTGAATTGCTAATGCATTGCTAAACTGCATTGCTAAATAGAAATCAATCATAAATAAATCAAAATTTTATTATGTATATTTTATTAATGATAATTTTTTAAACTTTTTTTAAAATATACTTAAATCATTTTTTTATTATAAATGAAGAATATAATAAAAAATCATATAGTATATAATTTTATTTTTATTTAATATTATTAGTAAGAAATATATTTATTTTTCTAGCTTATTAAAACAAAAGTACATTTTATTCAATTTTAAAAATTAACAAATATATATCCGTAATAGGGCGTTATATGTTTTAATATGTATCATTTTAGGAAACCGGAATGATGATTGGATAGCACTTTTTTTTATATTTGGGTATATATACATATGACGAGTAGGTTTAGAATAGTAAAACAATGGAAATTTTCTAATAAATATTGCTGGCGTTATTTATCAAAATCTCTTCATTTTTGTTTTATACGTGTATATTTACGTGCTAAGCATTATCCTAAAAAATATTTTGATTTGACCGATTGCCGAGTTCAAAACCGACCACTTATTAAATATTCGATTGATCAAATTTGCTATTAAGATAAATTGAAAAATGTTGATTTTTGTTTTATGTATCTATAAATACGTATAAAACATAATTCCCAAAAATATTTTAAAATATCATGATTTGACCCGAAAACCGACCGAATGACCAAATACTGCATTGCTGGCGTTATCCATGGAAAAATCTTCATTTTTGTATTATACGCGTATATATATACGTGCTAAGCATTATCCTAAAAAATATTTTGAAAATAATTTAATTTGACTGATTGCCGAGCTCAAAACCCCACTTACTAAATATTCGATTGATAAAATTTACTAGTAACATTTTTTGTTTTATATATCTATAATTACGAAAACATATACGAGTCGGTTATCCGCCAAACCACGATATTTTTAAAATATTTTTTGGGATTATGTTTTATATGTATTTATAGATATATAAAACAAAAATGAACAATTTTCAAATTATATTACTAGTAAATTTGTATCTAGGAAAATAATTCCCGGGAAAAAAAATCCCGTGACCCGGATCTGCTCTGCAGTATTTAATTAAATAGAAATGTTTTTTAAAGTCAAATTTCTTCGAGGATTTGAGATTTTAAATAATAAAACGAAAGTTAAATAAATCTAGTTCACCTTTACACACTTTCATCAACTTTTAGGTATTTATTGAAAAATTATTTTTACACAAATTTTAATCATTTTTTTAGAAATATGATAAAAGGCTTTTCACAGTTTACTAACTCTTAAATAGCGCCCCTTTTTGTTTTTACAAGGATAAGCTATTAAATAATATAATTTTATAAATTTTGTGGCGATATAGGAAATTAGCAATTCAATCTGATACCCTTTATTTGATAAAAATTATTTTACTGAAGTATTTACCTACTTTAAGAATTTAACTGACTGAATACAAAATCACTATAAAACTTGCAAAATTATATTTTTTACTGCCCAATTTTAATTAAATACTGCCAAAAGTAATGAAAAATGCTGACCACTTTAATCAAAATACATCCAGAGGTGATTATCAGCAGTGAGTATTATATTTTTCTAATCTAACAATTATTATTTTGCTTATGAATCAAATGTTACAGAAAAGAAATAATTATAATTTTATTAAATGATATATAGAATAATAAATTATATTATTCAAAAGAAACAATTCTAGAACGTATATGTTCTCCAATTGAAGAGAGAAAATTGGGCAAGTCCCTTCTCTCTTCTAAATAATCAATGCATAAATTTTTTAAAATAGTTTGTTTCGTTGCATAAATACGATTTTTTTTTGGGAGTGTATGTCCCAATATTCCATTGGCCGATTTTTCCCATATCAACCGCTATTTTCATCCTTATTTTTTCGAGTAGTTCCCATATCTTCGGTTTTTTGTTGCCTACAATATGCTTAAATCGGTTATTCCATCCTTCACATACATTGTTTGTTCGATTTTCCCCAGCAATCGTAACATTGAACACATTCCATGTTTCTGGTGGGAACAATGGCTCTACTTGCCTTTGAGAGTTTTTCCTATGTCTCAATTCTCCATTCACATAATTTTTATCAAAATAAAACAATAATTCTTTGTTTTCATCCGATACAATGGTTTTTAAATACTCCATACCTCTGACATCGTGTATAGGTAAAAATGCTAATCCATCGATCATAGCTGCAAATAAGCATAACATTGAATCATTCCGATATGATGATTCTAACCTCAATTCCTGAATCTTTCTATGAGTTGATTGAGTTAGATGATAAAAACATCCTTGGATGTTGATATCTCTACCTAAAAGTTGAAAAAATATAGATTAAAATTATTGTATAGGTTTTATTTAATATTTATGTCTTTATCAATTTTTATTAATTACACTGTGTGACAAGAAAAATGGGAGAAAAAATAAATAAAAACAAGTTTTGGTGCAGAATTTGACATTGAGTTCAAATTCATTTTCTAAGTTTTCCCTTCACTTCAAGTTTTAAAAATATTATCGTATAAAGGCAACTTTTCGAAATCTCAAAAATGGTAAAATTTAGGTCTTTATACGGATATATTTTAAAAAGTATCAAATGAAAATCCCTGAAAATTGGTGATAGTGTTAGACTTATATTTCCTTATAAATTTATTAATTTTTATAATTTTTTATCCATTGCTTTCTGGTAAAGAATTTCGTTTTGGGGGTCTTAAGTTTTCAATTTAAATTCCCGGCAAGAATCGTATAAATATGTTAGCGGACTACTGCTGGAGTATTTTTTTTGAAAATAAATCATCAACTTCATATTCGCGGAAATATATTTAGATTTACCATTAAATGTTTTTAAATTCGATAAATTTTATGTTATTGTTTAATTTGTTTTAAATTCAATAAATTTATTGTATATTACAAGTTAAATCCTATATAATAATGAAGGATGGGGTGAGACAACGGACCGATAAAAGGTTTATTAAAAGTAAAATATGAGATAGGTTAGCTTAGCATAATATATTTATTTAAATATGAGAAATGTAACTATTTCATTTAAATTAAATTGTTTGGGAATCGTACCTTGTGCAGTGTAGCGAAGAGAACGAAAGCCACAATAAATATATTAAATGTAAGCTATATTAAAAAAGAATCTATAAAAATAATTCCCCGGAAAAAAAATCTCCGTTTTTAAGATAATTAAAATTACAAAATTAATAAATTAGGAGAAAAAAATCCCTATAAATAAATCAACGAAATAATAATTCTCAAATAAAATATTTAAAAATTTTGATAAAATTAATTCTGAAGAATTATTTTCTAAGATTTACTGTCTTAAAACATGTTTATTTTATTTTCTCCCAAAAAAATCAAGTCAAAATTTGTCACACAGTGTTACTAGAAATGGGTTCGTTCATCCTACACTCATAAAAAAATCGTTTAATATTCCTAAAAACAACAGAAAAAGGAAATTAGAATTAAAAAAAATTTCAAATTCCACGGTCCAAAATACATTTTAAAATCAAGGTCCTAGCATATCTCGATAGGATATAGATGTAATTAAATCGTAAAAAGAAACCTAGAGTATTTTCGACGGCATTGATTGCAGCCTTTTCAAAATCTATATAAATTGTTATCGGATCTATGACTAAATTCCGTTCTTGGGCTTTTTCGAGTAAAATCTTAAAAATTTCTTCATATGTTGTATACGTTTTTCTTTGTAACAAGAAATATGCCGCTGTTATATACAGTGTTTTAAAGGGTATTCTAATTACATATAGCTGCAAAAATAAATGAGGAGCCAATTTAAAATTCCCGTCTATATACCAAGTTTTCGTTAGCATATAATCGGTGGCAAATATAATTATCCGTTCATTAGATACTCCGCCATTATCATGCAAAAGAAATCTCTCATTCGTGGGAGATCCGGTTGTAGCCCAATCCTCTAATATTAAAAGATATTTCCAATTAAAAGTTATTTATAGCATGAATATGATTTAACCTGAAATGCTTAATTCTTCCAATGTGGCCGGAATAGGAGGAAACCTTTTTATTTTGCGATTTCTAAGTGTCCTCTTGATACTCTCTTCATTCGGAAGTCTTTTTCTGGATTCGGGAGACAATTTAGACATTTCTTCTGCTTATATTTGGCAAGTATTTTGATTTGTTTCAGAGGCTTTTCTTTTCATCGTGCTTATAGCATTTTCAATTTGATATTCATGTGGATTTATAGGATGAATATGAGGCGTATTTTCCAATGTATAGTCATTTTCATTGTAATATTTCAAAATAACTGGGCATTTTTCAGCATTATATAATGTACATTTATATCTTTTAAAATTTTTCGTAGTTTTATGATAATTGTAGGAATATCCCTCATGAAAAATTTTAGCATGCTTATTTAACGGAAGAATAAACATAAAAAATTTATTAAAATTATCAAAAATATTTAAAATAGTAAAAGAAAATTTTATAAAAAGTAATAAAAAAAACTAAATGAAAATCGTTTGTTTCAAAATTACAAAGAATATATCACCCAAATATATAAATTTATTTATTTTTGAGCATAAATTTCCTTTCAACGTTATAAATAATAATATAAGAAACTAACTGGGATTATATAATAACATTTCCGGAGTTGGAAACTTTTAAATAAAAAAGTTTCTATTTTAAGATTATAGTCCCTCATATGTTTTCTTTAATGAATTAAATTTATTAAAAATTATAATATTTATAAAAATAAACAAATATTATTTAGAATAAATAGTATATTTTTTGTAATGTTCTACTTGAGATAGTCTTTGAATTAAATAAGCTTTTGTAATCGGTGATTAATATTAATACTTTTTTTGAAAATTTATAATCAGATACAATTTTTAAAAATTAAACATAAAAATTTCCATTATGTTATTTTTGTCCGGGATTCAAACTGATATTAGCATATGGAACAGAATAGTGTCATAATATTATTTTAATGTTGTATATATTTTAACAGTGGCGTGTTAGAAATAACCACCCCCTCTGCATGGTAAATATAATGTGGTTTAATTACCTGTTTAATATCTATTCAAGTCTAGATGAAAAGTAGATAAAGGAAATAACCTTTCTCTTTCTCAGTAAAAATTTGCTTTCACATTTTTCTTTTCAATTCTAAATTACCTCTTTCATAATTTTCATATATTTCTACGGGAATTTTTTTCCAGGTAATTATTTTCCAAGGATTTTTTTCCGGGGAATTATTTTCCGCTTACCAGTAAATTTGATCAATCGAATATTTAGTAAGAGGTCGGTTTTGAGCTCGGCAATCAGTCAAATCAAATTATTTTCAAATTATTTTTAGGATAATGCATAGCACGTAAATATACACGTTTAAAACAAAAATTAAGAGATTTTGATTTATAACACCAGCAATTCAGTATTTAGTCATTGGGTGAGCTACGAGTCGGTTATCCGCCAAATCGCGATATTTTAAAAATATTTTTAGGATTGTGTTTTATACGTATTTATAGATATATAAAACGAAAATCAACATTTTTCAAATTATATTACTAGTAAATTTGGTCAATCGAATATTTAGTGAGTGGTCGGTTTTGAGCTCGGCAATCGGTCAAATCAAATTATTTTCAAAAAAATTGTTAGGATCATGCTTAGCACGTAAATATACACGTATAAAACAAAAATGAAGAGATTTTGATAAATAACGCCAGCAATATTATCTTTAGAAAATTTCCATTGTTTCACTATTCTAAACCTACTCATAAATTAAACATAAAAGAAACCTAAAAATTTTTTTACGTGATAAAGCGCATTCGCCCTCTCAACTTTGTAGGAACAACAGAGCTACGCTAGGTTTTTCTCATTTCCATCTAATTGGATTTGTTAAGGTGGGGAAGAAAATATGAGAAACCCTTTACACGTTTGTGGGCTAGCCGTACTTACTTGTACGCACAATAGTCCAAGGATTAACGTTTAAACGTCTATGGGCTGATTGAGAAAGGGACAGGGCCAAATAAGACAGCCCACACCCATACCTACTATCCTAATTTTATCTAACTATGATTGGATAGGGGAAGGCTGGTTTAAGTTAATGTTTAAAGATTCGCATTTAATAAAAAAAAAATATGTTATTCAAATAAAAGAAAACTTGTACTTTTGAGGTGGCTGAAGAGGAAGGGTATAGTTGTGGGTAAGGGTGAAGTAACGGATAGGGGATATCATCTCAGGTACGCACATTTTACCTTAAGAAGCTTTTGATAGATTTTTTATTTTTGTTTAGTCTGGTGAACTGTTTCCAGTTTAAGTTCAGGCCAGCAACATCTTTCAATACCCGGTGGAGCCATAATGTTTTGTATCTGCTATATGATTTACCTTTACAGGTAAAAAGCCAAGTTAAAGCATCATGAACCAAATTTCAGCTGGGGTGTCTCAGAATGTGCGCTAAGAAATTAATTCGTTTTTTCTTTAGTATGATATGGAAAGGAATATGTTTTGATTGTTTCCATAACCTTTCGTTCGATATTAGTCTGGGGTAGAAAATGCCGTTAATTATCCTTAAACACTTGTTGATAAACGTTTGACATTTCCTATTATCAGCTTTGCTTATTTCCCATGTTTCACAGCCATATAATAGAATGGGAATAACAGTGGAATTAAAGATACGTAGTCATGTGAAGGCAGGTATCTCCCTTGTCTTCCATAACTTGAAGTACTTGTAAAAAGCTACTTTAGCTTTTTGTATTCTTATCCTGAGTTCTTCTATACAGCCCCCTCTATTATCTAGGGTAATTCCTAGATATTTTATTTGGGTAACCACCTTAATCACCTCAGACCCAACATCGATACTTTCTATGGGAGACGTGTGTCTTGCTAACATAATCATGGTTTTCTTGAAGTTTATTTCTAGCCCGACTTTCGAGCTCACCAATTTCAACAAATGAAAAAGATTGGAGGTTTCCTCTAAATCCTTGGTGATGATTACCACATCATCGGCGTAGGATATAATCCTGTTCTCTAGATTGTACTTATTCGGATATAAGTTTAGTTCCAACAGGTTTGCAGCGTCTAAAGTATCTTTTAAAATCTTATTCATAACTATGTTGAAGAGGATTGGCGAGAGAACACAGCCTTGTTTCACTCCTTTTTTTATCCTAAACGGTGGAGAGATTTTATTGTTTATTCTGCATGAGGTAAGCAAATTGTTATAATGGTGCCGTAATATCTTGATTATGTTTGTGTCAACCCCAACTTCTGATAGAATCTTCCAAAGTGCATCATGATTATCATTATCAAACGCCTGTTTAAAATCGATAAAAGTGAAAAAGAAAGGTAGTTTATATCTATCACATTTATGAATGATGATTTTAAGAGCAAGAAAAGGCTCCATAATGTTTTTGCCTGGGCGATAGGCGCAGATATACTTGGCGAAGAGGTTTTGCGATGTTTGTAAAATGTGAAACTTGAGGAGGATCATAAATATTTTAGAAGCAGTAGAGGTGAGTGCTATTGCCCTGTAATCTCCAAATTTAGTGGGATTTGAAATTTTAGGGAAGTTGCAAAGGGTGGATAGATTCCAGTCCTTCGGTGTCACCCCTGTGGACCAAATATTATTAAAGATGATTTGCAGGAAACGTGGTACTGCCTCCGATGTTGCTTTAAGATGCTCACCAGCTGGGCCAGGAGCTTTGTAATTCCTAAGTTTTTTAAGTGCAGAAGAAATTTCGATTAGTGAGAACTGAGAGGTATATTGAGGTGTTGAGAAATTGAGGTGTGGCTTGGAAATCAGATAGTACGCTTGTCGGTTTCCTGGATTCGAAGATCCTCATGTAGTGGTCCGTCCAAAGCGCCAATTGATCATCCTGGTCGATTATAACTTTGTTATTTTCCAGTCGAATGGAAGGGAGTTTTTTGAAAATTTTGGATTTGCAAAAATATTTGAGTTTGCTGTAGGCATCAAAAAGCCTGTTTCCTCTCATATCTGCATCAATCTCGTGTGCTTTCCTGACCGTAAAAATTCTTCTGTCACTTCTAAGCAATCTCTGTATAGATTTCCACAATTCTTTATCAAAGTGGCCTTTTAAACGGACCTCCTCAATTTTTATCATAGTAGTGGTGGATATCCATTCATTCCTTCCGAGAGAGTTGTTTCTTGCTAATACCTTGCTTGCCTCATGAATGTCACATTTAAAGATCATCCAGCATTCTTCCACTGTTTTAGCCTGGGATATGCTTTCAAAAATTGTAGCCTTCTCACATAGTCTGCGGTCAAAAAGTTCTCTGATCTCTGGTATTTGTAAGTAATAAATATTTCGCCTTCGGAGTGTAGCAGGCTGGTTGAGAATGTTATTTGATCTGATTGAGATATCCCATAAATTCTTCACCAAAATCTTTGCTTTGATCATTTTATGATCGGATAAGTTTACACTCGTCATGGCTATTACATCTTTGAACCAGCCATGGACATTTGAGATAAAGAAGTCTATCTGCGAAATGTAATTTCCCCTTTTAAAGGTGAGTGTATTTATCTCCCTATGAGAGAAGAAAGTATTTTCGATTTTAAGATTGTTACTGCTACATAAGTTAAGCAATATCCGACTCTCATCCCCATTGGGTTGTGCGAGGGCTGCATTTCCAATAGTGTTGTTCCTTTTATAGATCTCCTCCAAACCAATCCTGGTATTTAGATCACCTAACAAGATTATGTTATATCTTCTGGGTAAGGTATTGATTATGTTTTCCAGATCGTCAAGGAAGAGTAACCTGTCTCTCCTATTTGGAGGTGCGTAGATGTTTACCAGTATTGTTTGCCTATAGTTTGTGTTGATGTATAGTAGCCCGCATCTCTCTGAGATAGGTGTAAACTTATTTATATGATTATGAATTTTCTTGTTTACCAGAAACCCGACGCCTGACCAGCTGTTTGAAGTGGTTCCAGATTTTAATTTTTAGGTTTTTCATAAAATAAAAAAAGCAGGGTTGTGCATTTGACCGGTCAAATACAATTTGGTCAATTGACCGATATTTGACCGGTCAAATATGGTCAAATACGGTCAAATATGGTCAAATTCAAATAAATGTTTTTTACACCAATATTAACTTAATTTTGCATTTAATATTATAATAAATCTATGTATAATAATAAATATCATAATATTTTTTAATTCATTCTATAGTCAATGTTTCACCCTCCGTGGCAGAGTCTTGTTCCGATTCATATTCAATATCATTATTTTCTTTAATATTTTTAATCAATCTTAAATTATGATACACTCTTACTAATTTTCCTGCTGTAGAAGCCTTTAATCTATTTCTGTTTTTCGTGTGAATATTGCCCTAAACCGACCAATTTCTTTCAGAAGAAGAAGTCGAACTAGGAAATGTTAGTAAAATATTAGCGACTTCTCTTAATGGGCAAGGTGGGCAAAATGCATTCCACCAACTTGAGGCCGAAATTTGATTGTTTCTTATGGAAGTTACAACTTTCCACATATGGCTATTAAATATACCGCTTTTGCTTCTGAAATTTACTATATTACTCAAAATATTTTGATTATCACCACCTTGTAAAATACCCAATTCTTGTATTATATTACATGCTTCATCAAATTCAGTATTAGTAAGATGCTCCCCTTGATATTGGGGGTCCAAAGCAGCATTGTGAGCACATGTATTTAGATCAGTTTTTCTCTTTTCAAACATAACCTTAATTTTTTTTTCTTGAGATGGAGAAAATATAGAATCATAGCATGATTGTATTATGTGTTTTTCCAAATTAAGCATCTCGTTTTTTACTTGGGCCAAAGTACATTTATCCCCTTGCACTTTCAACAATGAGGTAGCTAAAGGCGTCCAAAATTCTTCGTTTAATATATTATTGGTAATTTCTATGGGACAAATATCACAAACAGCTTCTTCAACAACTGATGCTTTTAGAGCTTTCTTGCATATTTGAATTTGTTCCATACATTTTATTGACGATGCCCATCTTGTTTGGCTAATTGTACTTAATGTAGATGGTATGCCATGAAGATTCTTATTACGGGAAAATACTGCAGCTGGTATGTGTTTATTCTTGAAAAATTTAACAATTTTTTTAATTATTGAAATATGGTCACTGAAGGTGTTCAATCGATCAAAATCGTGAAAGAATAACTGCAATGTATGCGCTGCACAACCATAACATTGTATATGATTATAAATAGATTCAAATTTTATAATTCTCCAGGCTGCTTTCATGTTAGCGGCATTATCAGTAACTAAAGAATATACTTTTACCGGATTCAATTCATGAATTACATTTTTAAATTCCTGGGCAATATAATCTGCCGTATGGCGATTTTCCTCAGTATTTAGAAATTTGTAGAACACTGGAACAGGCGTCATCACCATAAAATTAATAATACTCTCGTTTCTAATGTTGCTCCAGCCATCTGATACAATTGATAAGTAAGGAGCTTTATCTATTATATCTGCAACTCTCACCTCCATATCACCTGACGCTTTGTCTAAAAGATATCCAGCCAGCTGCCTTCTCCTGGGTAATGTGTAAATAGGACGTATTTTTTTAAAAAATTCTTGGATGTAGGGATTTTCAGTGATGTGGAAAGGTAAATTGCTCGCATATACAGCCTTTGCAAACAATTGATCCAGCTCATTTTTTTCTTTGGGATTAATTCTATCTATGAAACCAGTTATACAAAAGATTGAGATTTATATTTAATCGCCTTGCTTGTAGATTGATTAGAAATAATGGAATCGAATTCTCCTGAGTCACAAGACAAAATATTGTTCATTTGATAATCATTCTCACTAATTTCACCCAATTCTTCATTAGAGTTAGACTTAGAAGTATTACAAATTACATTTGTGATATTTTTTGTAGAGGTTGATATTTTGGAATTTGAATAAAATTTTTCCTTAATTATAACAGGGCACATAGTACAGCTGCTTAATAAATGTTTGACCATTCTATCAACGTGGGTGATATAGGACATCTTGCAAAACTTGCACACCGCTTTAACTGATTTACCATCGCGTACTTCTTGAAAATGTTTCCAAACATGATGCTTTGGTTTGACCATAATCCCTAATATATTAAAATTTAACAAAAAATGATTTTGATTATTGTAAAGTTAATCAATCTTAACTATTTTATAATTATCGACCAATTATTCCAATAATTTCTTAATATTATAAATATAATATAATATATATAACTTTTTACCAGAATTGAATAATATTCCGTAAATCTGACCAGAACAATTAAAATGAAAATTAATTTTAAAAACCAAATATAGCAAGTGTAAGTAAAACAAATGAGAATTAATATAATTTATACTCGGCTAAATATTAAATAAAATTTAAATTTATTAAAAAATAAGAATGAAAAAATTATATTATGATTATAATAAATCGGGTATTTTTATTTTTTTTAAGAAAATTAATTGAAAAAAATGAAGAAGGCGAGAAACGGCAATGATTAGGCGAAAAAATAACTAAAAATAATACTATATTTAGGAAAATTACATATTTATATTTTAACAATAAAAAAATTCTTTTGTTTTTAACAATTCATGATACAAATAATTTTTTAAATAATTGTAACCTAATAAGATTGATAAACATGCTTTTAATGCATACTAGTTAATTATATCAAAATATTTATTCGCCATTAATATTTTAGAGTATTTGACCGTATTTGACCGGTCAAATATTCCTCCGGTCAATTGACCGACATGCCAACCCTGAAAAAAAGTGCTATCCAATCATCATTCCGGTTTCCTAAAATGATACATATTAAAACATATAACGCCCTCTTACGGATATATATTTGTTAATTTTTAAAATTGAATAAAATGTACTTTTGTTTTAATAAGCTAGAAAAATAAATTTCTTACTAATAATATTAAATAAAAATAAAAAATATATACTATATGATATTTAATCAGTATTCTTCATTTATAATAAAAAAAGTTTAAAAAATTATCAATAATAAAATATACATAATAAAATTTTGATTTATTTATGATTGATTATGATTGATTGCTATTTAGCAATGCATTAGCAATTCAATATATAGTGGGGAAATTTTTTCCGGAGAATAATTTCCAGGGGAATTTTATTCCGGGGATTTTTTTTCCGGAGAATTATTTACCTGGGAATTATTTTCTGGGGAATTTTTTCCGGCTATTTTTTTTCCGGGATTTTTTTTCCGGTGAATTATTTTCTGCTTACCATAATTTTGAAAGTATACTTATATCTCCTTGGCATAAATTTGATTAAATCATTCCCCTTTTTAATTTGATATAATATTTTTGACCATAAATATAATATATTATTAAAATATTAAAAGATTTATGATAATTCAAAATCAAATTAGCAGAAAGAAAGAATAGGTTTTATTTCATTTTGATATAGCAGAAAGGAAGGAAAAGGAAATATTAATATATTTGTTATGAGTACTAATTTTAAAAATTAGGTGCTGCTATATAAAAAAGAGCTCCTATATAACGACGCCTCTTAAGCAAACCGCCCAATGGTGTAGATAAATCCCTCATAAATTGGTATAGGTTCTAAATCGCGAAAACAAAAATTGCTGAAAATTGGGAATCTCGCTTATATCTCCTAGAAAATTTTATAAGTGATATTGAAAATAATATTAATAGTTGCTAGGGTAGTAAACACTTATATTTCAATTGAAATTAAAAAATTGCCAAAAATGAAGAAAATATCATTGCTCCCAGAATTGGGAACAACATTTAAGAATAATGATATTTCACTCATTTTTAGAGATTTTCTAAAAAACTAAATTTAAATAAAAATTTATATTTCCCTAACATATATTAATATCAATTTCAAATTTACTTTAAAAATTTCCTAGGATATAAGCTAGATTCCCAATTTTTTTTGCTTTTGGTGATTTTTATTTTAGCGATTTAGAACGAAAACCCATAAATCCTCTCCCCCTTCTGAAAATATTTTGGCTATTACATATGTTTGAATTTCATTTAAAATTGTTCTCATATTAAATTGTTGAGGGCACCGCCCCCCCCCATAGAATAAAGATCGAGCTTCATAGTAATGCAGGAAAATCTTGTGTAAACTAAAAAGAGTGCTCTTATAATTGAATTCACCATATCTTGAATATCTAAAGAAATTGTTTTGGCGTTTAAAAACAATAAAGATTAAGCCATATACATCAATTAATTATTTTTTTATATAAATGATTGCCCTATAAATATTGTTGAGCAGAATGTTTTGAATTTACCTATTAAGCCAAAACTGTGAAATAACTTTTCCCAGTATAAAACTAACCCTTTTATAATAGTAAAAAGAAGAAATTATAATTACTCACAGGAAGAAATCAAATGTCAATGTTATAAGTTGTTGAAGAGGAATTAAACAAAGTTTATTTAAAAAACTAATATAAAACTTAAAATTCTTATTTGAAAACATGTTATTCGCTTTAAGAACCCGTTTCAATTCCAAAATGAACTCCTTAGATGACGTTATCCTAAATTAAACTGCCAATTTTAATATTTTAATATTGTATCTTACCGTTTTAGAGGCGTCACCCGCTTTTGCTAAGAGAGTAGCTAAAGGTTAAGCTTTTTAATTATGGGGTATATGCCAAAGACCTTCAGGCCCAGTATTAAGCCCGGAAAAATTTAGAATCGGGGCATCAAGGCATCAATTTAATTATAATTTTATATTAAAAATATAAGATTTTTATATTGAAATATTAGAATTTCATTTTAAAATATAAAAAATAAAAGAATTTTTCTCATTATTAATTTGATCTCTCTATATAAATAAATATAATAATTTTGCTAAAGCATGGCTTGAGAAAATTACCAATTGCCAATTTAAATTATATTTTGTACAATTATCCAAACAAGATGGGCATTCATTAAAATGTAAGGAGCAAATATAAATTTGTAAGAAAGCACTGAAAGCAGCTGTTAAAGTTGAATATTTGTTCGAAAGAAATTACCAAATACATTAAAAAATATTTTGGAAACCTTCCAATTAATGAAGAAGAAATGTAGTAATGTAGTTTTCCGTCATCTTGCGATCTGTCCCTGACAACATACGTAATTCCTTGAATTTAGGACAGAGAAAAAGAGAGATAAAATGATACTCATGTAAAACAAATTTTTCAATTAAAAAAAATGCTTTATATTAAGTAGAATCAATTTTATCTCTCTTTTATCGCATTGATATGTATTACAAACTTCAAAAAGTTCATAATACCAAATTACCACTTTAAAAAGAGTGCAAGAGTCCGACTGTAACTAAACAATAGCTCTGTGATTATTTCCAAGAATATTGACAAGATCCTAAAGAATCGGAAGGTCTATAATATAATACTTTTCCGATCCTCCATGTCTTGAAGAACTTTTATAATTTCCTCATTTTGTGAATAAACACTATTGAGCATATTGTATTTAGAGTTCCAGCAAATTACAGGAGGCTCAG